AAGCTACTTTTGAAGACTTATTCATAAACCATTTGAGCTAAACAAATAAATTTAACATACTTAGTTATTCAAAAGTACAGTTAGATACTGAGCATGTCCACCCGCTCCCTCTTCCTCTGGAATATAACTATTTACATTCCATCTGGTAGCCTTATACTCTCTACCTCTGGAATATAACTATTTACATTCCATCTGGTAGCCTTATACTCTCTACCACTGGAATATAACTATTTACATTCCATCTGGTAGCCTTATAATCTTTATTTCGATGTACTTTTAACTTGTTGTTATGAGATTCATTCTACAGAAGGTTAAAGGGCTTGATTAACAAAATTGTAATTTCTACTTATCTGGTACTTTTTTGTAAAAGAAAATTTGTGGTCTATTTTTCAATAGAGAGCAGTATCTCCAATTCCTAAACATACATTTATGTATTTTCAATATGAGTTTTATGGTCCAAAGGATCCATAACTACCGAATAGTATTTCCATCTCTAGAATATTTTGACTTACTGCTAGATTACTCTTACCAAATATTTCCAGGTTCATACTGACGTTTCATCGAAAGTCACATGAGATTCAGACGTAGTGATTTACTCTAGCAGTTGTTTTGAACTAACCTTTTTAAATATTACATATAAATATATAGTATACATTAATAACATAAACTATAATCATAGGTTTAATGTTTTAATATGCTTTCTAAGGATCTTCATAACACTGTGAGCTTTACCACACAAAATCTTTAATTATACATCAGTTTTAACTTTAATAAAGAAAACAACATTTGTTATTGGAAATGGACGTTAATCGTTTTTGTTTTCAGCTAAGATCAAACAAAGCTTCTCGCAACCGACTGATTGTTATTAATTAATCTTATCTGTCAGATAAAAGGTTTAATTCGCTCAGTACGAATCTGCTTTGAAATCAATACGAACATGGTTAGAAAATTAGAGATTACTCTTAAACTGATACAAAAACCGCTATTATATTTACTTTATTTTGGGAATGGTGTACTTAATTACAACGTAGATATATTTTTCCCTATTTAGTGCAATGTTGCAAGTAGTTTCTGTTGTTTAGCAATCGTTTCGTTTCGGAACGATGGATGACTTTCAGTCTGTGAGTTCAGTAGACAGGCATTAACTTTCAGTTTTTGGGTAATAAATTGCTTATAGGGTTTTAAATTATCTGCCACCATTTTTTCCCCCTCTTTGGCAGACTCTATCATTAAATTTTAATGAAATATTTTAGTCTGAGCGTTATTAACCGTCTTCTTGAACTCCATAATCGAATGAAAATTGGATTAAGGTATATCAAAATGTTTTTATATGCAAGTGCATTCATATGTACACGTCCCCCTAGTGGATCAGCGGTGAGTTTACGGACTTAAAACCCTAAGATCCTGAATTCGATTCCCGCGGGGGCCAGAGCGTAGATATCGTATTTTGTAGCTTTGTAATTGTTTGTTTGTTTGTAATTAATCACAAAGCTACACAATGGGCTATCTGTGCTCTGCCCACCACGGGTATCGAAACCCGAATTCTAGCGTTGTAAGCCCGCAGACATACCGCTTTGTGACAAAATATAGCAGTAACTAGGTCATTTTAATTGAAGACTCGGTTTATAAATTAGTCTATAAGCCATTATTATTGTTTTAACCTTTCGCAAAAGAGAATAAATTTAACCAACAACTTTAGATTCTAGAAAATGATCGCTTTACGGAATTACAGGTAACAAATGCAAACGTATTATTCTAGAACTAAATTTAGAAACATATTCAATTTTACTAAATAAAGATACAAAGCTATTAGAACTAAAATTTTATGTTTGCAACTGTTGTTCTGAAAAACACAAAAAGCAGTTAATTCCCCAATTTAAGAACATTATTAGATAAAAAGGAAGTGTTTCTGACATGTTTATCAACTAAGATATCAGAAACGATATTGTGATTCAGCCATCTTTTGCGAAATTCTGTCCGTTGTACTTAATAGTGAAGCTATTTAAAACAAACCAAAATGTTTAGTAGTTATAATCACTACAAGACTTAATTTTTATGAATGCGTTTAAATGAACTTTTTATGAACTTGGATGACTGAGAAAAAAAAAACACCCTCTTTACTTTAAAAACAAATGCATTCACTAACCTTTATTCTACGGCTTTCTTGGCTTAGAAGTTGAACAGTTAGCTGTTAGTCGGACAGTAGTGGGTTAGAGTTTGATTCTCGTCAGCAGTGTCATTAGCCAACTCAGTCATCACTTCCTCCAGGGCTGGTAAATGAGTACCAAGGATGAAAAAAGATAGTAATTGTATTATCCGTAACGAGTCACGTATTCTTCAATCTGTGCTCAAGAACTGCGAATGTCTAAAAATATGTTTGAAATGAGTGGAAGTGTAGAGAACAAGATTTTGTTAAGAATTAAAGAGTCTCTTCTAATATGGAAAAAAAAAGCCCTCTCTGAATAATCAAGAAGCTACTTCTGAGCTTTTAGTAGTAATACAAGGTAGTTTATATTTAGGGCTAAATGTGATAGTTATTAGTATTTACATTTGTGATGCAAAGGTATTTGGATAGTATTTTAGACTGACGCATTTCACATCATATATATATATATACATTCCTCTACTTTCATTACATATGGGTATTTGTTACGCATTTACTATAAAGAAATAGTTTTCATGAAAGTTTCAGCTGATACTAGATATCGTTACCCAAAGCTATTTTGAAACTATTTTGACTAACTTTTGTGTATTGTACGATTAATATATGTCGGGAAAGTTATATTATAATTTAGATCTAGTTTTGTGTCTGTCTCTGTTTCATTTTCTTCGTCTATCTATCCATCTATTCTGTGCTTGGAATGAGTAATTTTTCTATGTTGTGTAACTTTATTACCTTTTCTACAATTAACTCGTTTGAATCTATATTTATTCACAAGCTTTAATGAAAATAAACACAACTAGTACCCACGTCTTAAAGGCGCTTGTATTTCAAAGTATTTTTCTATAATCTGCCTCTTCAGTATATATTAATCGTGTCTTGCAAGCACCACCCATTTCAATATATCTGATTATTAAATTTCTGAAAACCAGATTCGAGCATGGCTTAGTGGTTAGCATGCTCAGATTGCGAATCCGTGAATTTATGGTTCGCAACCTGTTGCACATCAATGCGCCCTGCACAATGAAGCAGTGGGGTGCTATAAGAGCGACGATAAAATATCAGTCTGTAAGAAAAGGGTGGCACAAGTAAATGCTGTAGACTAGCTGGTCTATCACTTCAAAGTTAGGGACGGCTATGCGTAGAGAGCTCATTGTATATTTTTCGAGAAAATTCTAAAACAAAGAAACCTTAACACGAAAATCTCAGCCACTTCAATTTCTTTTTCCTTTAATAAGGAAAATTAAGTATTTTTGCAACCTCTTTTATTTTCCAGATAAATATAAAAGTTATTCAAAAAATAAATATACGATTTATTGAAATATGTTTTAAACTTTATAACTGAATAGTTTGATTTCACTCGACCAATGAATATTAATAAATTTTGTATGGTTATTTTGGCTTTAATCGTGGAAAGAAATCCATTTATTTTTAAGATTTTTGTGTCTAATATACATGTAATGATTAACTTCTACATATTTTATTCTGTTAACCTTATTTCCATCAATCCAGTAAACGCCTCCCCAGTGTTTTATTATTGAGTTTACCAGGTGAAGTTAATTTCATTTCAGAGTAAAAACTGTTTAAATTTTTTGTTAAATATTTACAAGTCAGAAAATAACTTTTTAGTGAAACAGTGGAAGGCTGTGTTCTCTAACATTGAGATGTTTGTCAGTTGTGGGTGCGAGATAATCCATTCACTTCAACGTACTAAGGGGATAAATACATAAGCAGTCCAGAAACTCTACAGTCCAGAAAGACTACTTTTCATCAGCAGTCCAGAAACAGTTTTGACTTTATTCTCTCTGATCCTTGCGGCCCGGCATGGCTGGATGGTTAGGGCGCTCGACTCGGAATATGAGGTTCGAATCCAGTCACAACGAACAAGCTCACCCTTTCAGCCGTGTGGGCGTTATAATCTGACGGTTAAGCGCATTATTCGTTGGTAAAGGAATATCCAAAAAAGTTGATGATTGGTAACGTTAACTAGCTGCCTTCAATCCTGTCTATCACTGCTAGATTAGGAGGGTT